ATAATTTGCTAGTGCATCTTCACAGCATCACCAATACCTTAAGCAATCACCGCAGTCTAGTGACCATCTGTCGCCATACAAAGTTATTACAATATTATTGACTATATTCCCTATACTGTGCATTACATCCCATGACTTTATTTTATAATTGAAGTTTGTACCTCTTAATCTCCTTTACTATTTTTGCACCTCCCCTCCAGAGACCATTAGTTTATTCTCTGTATCTCTGAGTCTGTTTCTGTTATGTTTTGTTTTTAATTGCTTTTTTAAAGATTTCACATATAAATAAAACATAGTATTAGCATTTGCTTTCTTTGTCTGACATTTCACTTAGTATAACACCTTCTAGGTCCATCCACTTTGTCACAAATGACAAGATTTCATCCTTTTTTATGACTAAGTAATATTGCATTTTCTATATATATCACATCTTTATCCATTCATCTATCAATGGACACCTAGGCTGTTTCTATATCTTGGCTATTGTAAAAATGCTGCAATAAATATAGGAGTGTACATATCTTTTCGAATTAGTATTTTCATTTTCTTCAGATAAATACCTAGAAGTGGAATTGCTGAGTCATATGGTAGTTTTATTGTTAATTTTTTTAGGGACCACTGTACTATTTTCCATCATGGCTGGACCAATTTACAGTACCACCAACAGCGCCTAAAGGGATTCCTTTTCTCCACATTCTCAGCAACATTTGTTATTTTTTGTCTTTTTGATAATTGCCGTTCTGACAGACGTGAGATGATATCTCATTGTGCTTTTCATTTGCATGAGAAATGCAAATGAAACAACATATGTCTGTTGGCCATCTGTTTGTTCTTTTTGGAGAAATGTTTACTCAAGTCCTCTGGCCATTTTTAAACTGTATTGTTTGCTTTCTGATATTGAGTTATATGAGTTCTTTATACATTTTAGATATTAACTCTTAATTTGATATATCGTTTGCAAATATCTTCTCCAATTCAGTATGTTGCCTTTTTGCTTTGTTGATGGTTTCCTTCACTGCACGAAAGCTTTTTGGTTTGATGTAGTTCCATTCGTTTATTTTTGCTTTTATTGGCCTTGCCCACTGAGATGCATCCAAAAAATATTGCTATGACCGATGTCAAAAATTTACTGCTTATGTTTTCTCTGGAGTTTTATGGTTTTAGGTCTTATATTTAAGTCTTTAATACATTTTGAGTTTATTTTTGTATTTGGTGTAAGAAAGTGGTCCAGTTTCCTTTTTGTGTATGTAACTGTTCAGTTTTCCCAACATCGCACTAAAGAGACTGTCTTTTCCCTCATTTTATATTCTTGCCTTCTTTGTCATAGACTAACTGATCATATAAGCTCTCTGTTCCATTGATCTATGTGTCTGTTTTTGTAGCAGTACCATACTGTTTTGATTACTATAACTTTGTAGTATAGTTTAATATTAGGGAATGTGATACATCCAACTTTGTTCTTCTTTCTCAAGATCATGTTAGCTATTTGCTGTCTTTTGTGGTTTCATATAAATTTTAGTATTATTTGTTCTTGTTCTGTGAAAAACTGAGGTCCTAAGCTGTCTGTTTGTTGAAAACTAGGAAGAAGACTGTCACAGTGTCTGCACTGAAAATTGAGTAGTACTGTTCTTTGTCTGATGAGCTGCCACAACAGCCCACTCCTCCATACCTTAAAGAAACTGTTTTGCCAGTACTGAACAGAAAGTGAAGATCTTGGCAAGGAGCAAAGGAAGTGGGAGCTTAAGACAGCCTTGGCCAAGAAGTAACATAAAAATAGGAAAATGTTACTTGTTTTCTGGGAATGGGTGGTGCTGAATATACCTAAACTGCTTTTTTTTTTCCTTCCAGAGAAAAAAGTCTAGACTAAAACCAAAACAACAACAAAAGTTTTAATTCTAGGGATGACTTCCAAAAACACGAATTTAATATTTTTGAAGAATATCCCAGAGAAAAGCATAATTACCTCATTTTCCATCCGTTTGCAAAAAAAAAAAAAAAATTTATGACTATTAGGCCAAATTTTATTTTTCCAGGAAGAATCCTTTCCACAAAACAAGGGAAAGTGGCCCTGGGAAGACTGGACAATTGATATATTGAAGTTCCTAACTGGGGTTTGCAATCCATATATGATGTGAATCTGCATTTGAAATAAGTGGGGCTATTTTCTCCTCTGAACTCAGAGGGAAGTGGCAAAGGGTAAACATAAGATAAGGGTAAACATAACATAAGGCAAGAAGTGAAGGATTTGCCATCTGACTTTCGATTTCTCTTTGATTAGAAGCCAAGTCTACCAGTTGTGAGAGGAACGGAGGGAGGATTAGCAGTAGAGAGTGAAGGAATTGACTGCTGCAGATAAGTGGAAAGCAGCTGGGCAGAGAAACTCTGAGACAAAGTCTCCCAAATGAAGATGAGGGCCATGAAATTAACAGAGGCATCCGTTTCCTCCTTTTCCCTCTGGCAAACTCTTTCCTCGAGGCCTGGCCAACAGTACTCCACTTAAAGTCCACTGTAGAGCGGAAAGATGTTTTCATCAACTCTCTTAAGGTCCCTGGCTGGGTCTGAAAATTAAACTGACAGAGAATAACGAGAGGAAAGCCTACAGATTTGTTTAATATAAGTTTTATGCGACACAGGAGCCCTCATAGGGATATGAAACAGTTAGATCTGAAGAAACAGGCTTTAAGAAAGGACAGTCATGTAGAAACACAGATCAGAGAGCAGGAGGTAAGCATAGGAAACTTGGGGAAATTTAGCAAGGCATGTTTGTTTGTATTCTTCTCAGTTACCCTTTTGTCTTTGGTAATAAGAATACACCTTTCCTCTGGGTAGAGGGAGAGGACACCTTGCACATGACGGCCTTATGACCTGTTTCAGAGAAGGAAGGTGAGCGACGGTCAGAGAGACCTGCCTGCTTCTGCTGTTTTCTCAAACATCTTCAACTTAAAATACTCAGTATACCAAGGTGTCATATCTTGGTCTGGTGTGTCCTGAACCCCCTCACCATCATCTCTATCACAGAAGGAAAGGATGGGTCGCCCTGTTGCAAGCCCTTACACCCTTGCGTTCACACCTCTTTTTAAAAGAATTTAACATGTCGCTGTTTTATATCCGCTTAAAAGTCTTTCTCCCTAGTTAGGCTTTAACCTCACCAAGGAAAGTGACTGTTCAGAATTAACCATCCTAGCTTTATTCTCTCTAGTTCTCAACAAATGACAAACGGCAGAAATAAAAAGAAAATCTGAAATATTTTTTTCTGATCTAAAAATATAACAATATCAAACAAGGACGGGGATAAAAGCAGGTTGTCAAATTGCTGCTGAAAGGTTTAATATACATAAGAAAATGAAAACAAAAAACCTTTCCAGAAAACTAGAAACTTCTGAGTAATATGCAGAAAAGGAAGTGTCTTCAAGGGCTAATCATTAACCTGAGACCATAATCAACCGCAAGTGCTACCAGGGATCTGTAAGGTGACAGCAAGACATGGAATTAAAGAGAAGTGTCTGTTGTTGTTTTTTTCAGATAGAAACTTCAGTGGATGTCTTGCTTCTCTTCCCAGCTTGTTTTTAGTAAAAATTCTCCATAACAACAGCAGCTATCTCAACTCCAGCAGCTTGGCTTTCCACCGCTACGCTCAGCTAAAAATGCATTTGGATACCTGCCATCACATGCAGGACAGGGGTACCCACCTGTCCATCTTACTCAGAATTTATGTCTCATATCCTATTGTATTTTGCAGTTAATTTATAATAATCTTTAATCCCTGGTCTATGGGCATATATGGAAATTCGTGTGTGTGTATTTTATTTATGCATTCAATGAAAATGTTATCTTATGTTTGATTTCAAATATTCAGTTAACAGAAAAGCTCAAAGAAATAAGTAAACAACTACCTGATTTGCCACTAAGATGAAATTTCATTATCATCTGATAAACATCATGGCAACAATTTTTAAAAATTTTTTTAAATTGACGTATTATTTGGATATAAACATTAGTTTCAGATTTATAGCATAATGATTCGATACTTACATATATTGTGAAACATCACAGGAGTCTGGTTAACATCCATCCCCATACATAGTTATAAAAAATTTTTTCTTGTGATAGGACTTTTAAGATCTACTCTCTTAGCAACTTTCAAATATGCAATAAATATTAACTATAGAAGCAAATTTTTGTAGATTTCAGATAGAAGAGTAGACCAGTAGAAAGATAGATGGGTGGGTGGATGGATAGATAGGTAGATAGATAGATAGATAGATGATAGACGAGTGAGGGAATACTGAATGAATAAATAGCCCAAAACTAAATTATACAAGTTATTAAATAATTAATGCCATTTATTTCACTGGAATTTAAGGGGAAAAAAAAAGAAGTTAAAGTACAATCGAAGACTTGTACTTTCAATATTTGTTCACAAAAATATTTTAATTTTAAGATCTCTTAATAATTAGTATTATAAAAACATTAAAATGTAGAAATCATTATTTTTAGCTACTTGGTCAATTTCAGATGACATATTTTAACTTTCTGCTATTAAGAATTTGGAACATTTCCTTCTACCTCCCCTATTTACATCTACCTGTTTCTGTTAATTATGCTATTAAGATTTATAACATTTTCTTTTTGTTCACTTGCTTTTTGTTCAGTAATTCCACAGTTGTTTAATCTTAGTCTATATCAAAACTAATTCAATAATCCTCTTATATGTGACACTAAACATTTTCTACCATTAAAATGAAAGTCTTATTTGTGCATAAGAAGGCATATGCCTCTTTTAAAAACTACACCTGATAAATATTTCCAAATATGGGCAGCATTTGTGATGACCTCCCTCAAAAAGCTTCCATTTATGAAACATGCAACTGTACCTTATCTTCAAAAGCGGAAGACATAATGCTCAGCCTTAATGTTTTCATATTTGGGTGAAATTAGGGAGCAAATACAAACAAAGTTATTATTAAATTGCAATAACATTTGAAAAATTTCCAACTCACATCACGTGTAGAACACAAGCCTTCACTGTTCTTTGGACCCAGGAGTTTCTTCATGTTCTCCTTTATGTTTTCTTTCCTCTGGTATCTGAAAGCTTTCTCCTGATCACACAGAGCCATGCTAAATCGGAGGTCTGGGGATGAGCTGTATATAAAGCAGAGAGTCATGAGCCAAGGTTCCCAGTAGCCCTGTTAGACATCATCCAGTCCCCAGTAACTACACTGATATAAGCTCACTGCTTCTCTCAAGCCATTTCCTAGGCGGGGACCTGAAAGAAGAGTATAACACGATGGCTCTCTTAAAGCTGCGCGTTTTCAGAAAATGAAGAGTATGAGATGTTTTAGAAAAACAACAAATAAGCAGACAGTAGTGATATTTGATCATTGTAAATAATATTTTAATTATTATTACCCTAAGGATAAACATAGATAACTCACAAAAGATCAAGTATAATTAATAATGAAAAATAGGGAAATAAATATTTAATTTCACTAGCAAATGTTAAAAATACAGTTACTGGTAAATCAATAATTTTTTAAAGTACTTTAAATATCTGTTTTTTAATACTGGAAAAGGTAAAGTAACACTGTTATTCTCGTACATTTATTTCGGAAATATAAATTTGTAAAACACTTGAAAAGCGATTAGGCAATGAGCACTAAAAATAATTAAAATGTGTGTATTTCCCTCACCATAGTAATTATATTTCTGGATATCTACTTTAAAGGAAGTAACTGTGAATTTTGAAAAAATCATTTAACTTTATTATCATACAATAAGGAAATGGTCATTAAATTATAGTGTATAAAAGCGCTGGATTACACAATTGTTAAATTTAATTATTATGAAGATCATGTAACAAGGGGAGAAAGAATAAAAGTGAATTATCATTTTTAAAACCAAATCCTAGGATAAACTCTTCTATTATTATTGTTTGTTATAATATATTAAGTTGGGTATCTTCTAATGACTTTAAGGAATAAAAATCTACCTGCACAGCTGTCTCTGTGAATCTGCCCCAATTTATTTCCTTTTCTGCTCCTCAGGGCTAACAACTATTTTAAATTTGCTCTTTACTATTTCAATGTATTTCTTTATAATTTTACAATATATATTTATGTTCTTAAAATATATATAGGGTCATTTTGAAGATTTAAAATGTTTATGTAAATGTTATCGACTATATATATTCTGCAAATTATTTTTTTCCACTGGACATGTTTTTTTTGAGAATCATCTCTGTTTATGTAAATAGAACTAATTCAAACATTTTACTATTGTGGAGTATTTTCAATATATGAATATAGCATAATTTGTTTATCCATGAACATTGAGGTAGCTTCCAATCTATTGTTAACTATTACGAACAGTACCACTATGAACATCTGGAACACATGTGCAAAAGTTTCCTATAATATTTGCTCTTTAGAAAAAACATCTCATTAAATCATCGCAACAGATATGTTTACCAAGTGCTCTTATCTTACTTTACAAAAGTTATTAGAAATCTTTCAACCGTTTACATAATTAGCAGTTAAGACTGCTACCTGGCCACTTAGAAGGCTGCTTCTTAAATATACCGTGCTGATCATATTCTCACATTAAGCACAAGAAGCATGATTTTTAAAAATCTATGATCAGAGCAATGAATATAGATGTTTAGAATGTACTAGTACAAAAATATCTGGAAGAAAGTTTTTAAAGTGCTGAGTAATTTCATAAACATGGTAACAGTATGTTTCATTTATTTCTTATGTATTACCTTTAACCAGTTAATTTTTTAAACTTGTTTTATATTTAATGAAAGACATCCATAGAAAATTATATTTTTTTAAAGAAAAATTTCCATTTTAGAGTCAAGATGTAAGTTCACATGTAAAAGTAGAATTTAATTAAAGTTCATTATAAATTTATATTAAATTACTTCCAGACATGTAAATTATTGAGGTGAGTTTTTCCTACATTTTCTGATAACTATGTTTTGTTAAAGCCTATTTCTTTTACATTATGTGGTCCTAATTACATCAGTGATGACCATTTCCCATTAAAACAAATAGCAATACTTTCATAGTCAAATAACAAAAATATTTCTCATCTCATGTCAAAATAAATCACTTGTAAGCAAGTGTCAGTGTAATACAGAATAATACAACACAAAAGTTTGGACCATCCTCTGATATATCCTGACATCTCATCTATTACGGGACTGTAGTTACTTATACCAAGGGATCAAAATAAGAGAAAAAAGTGTCTAAACTCAATGTTCATGTATTCATTACCATACATTTGGCAGATAACAAGATAGGAAAATGTGACACTAATTTGTGTGGCATTTGTGTAAAAAAAATGTGCACTAGTAACTGTGGCAAAACGTACTTCAACAGGGAAGTTCAAAGAGACGCAGGGAGGTTAAGAGAGGTGGGATCCACTGAACTCTGAGTTAGATCAGAGATGAGCTAATTCTCAAGGCAGGCCTGACCTCCCTAAGAGTCACCATTTGAAAATAAATGATTTTCTTACTTTCAGTTTTGGAGGCCACTTTGAAAGTGACATCCTTCACGGAACTTTAACCATTTGTAGTCCTGCTGATCACTATGAACAAAATCAGTCTCAATTTTCAGTTTTTCCTCTTTATAGTTTCCTGTCTATATTCGCTTTCACATTTTTGAATATCTATCTAAATTAGCAATAGAAAATAGGCTTAAATAACTATAGTCATTTCTATGGAAATAAATATGTAACTTGAGGAAGGCCCTTTCTAAAAGCCCTTATTCTGACATCTATTATCTAACTAGCAAACTACAGGAAAATTAAGCAAAGAGTATTAGATTTATTTTTTTAACACTGTAGCTATTAGAAGAGAGCAAAAGAAAAACAAAGTGTATTTAATGTATTTTTTATGCTCAAAGCTGTTAGAATTATTTCATCTAAGAATAATTTCGAACAGTTAAAATAAGTCAGTCGAGCACTCAAAATATTTTCCATCTAATAAAATAAGTGCACTTACCAAACTTCAAGGGACATTTCCAGGATCATTTCAGTGACCTAAAACAAATACATTTGATTAGGGCATAAATGGATGTGTGTTATATACAATGCAAACAAAGGCAAAATAATTTTTGAATGCCAGAATATTTTTAACCTAACCCTCCTCCCCTGCCAAAATAAAAGTAACATAGGTCCATGGAGATCTGAAATTACAGGTGTATTTCAATAATTTTTTTTGCTATTTTTTATATGTCTACTTAATAAGTCATTTTAGCAAATGTAAGAATTGCCTCTGCATGGTTGTTTTCCTCCTTCACTGAAATGAAGTAGTTCAGTTCCACAATTATGATTCACAAAAGAAAAATTGCAGTGGCTGACCCTGGGCCTCAAAATCAGAGGCCAAAGTAGATGAGAGATTAAAGAAAGACTGGAGAGAAATTCATATGTGTGCATTTGTGACATGAGGGCTGTAGTAAACTGCAGACAGAACACGTCTTCAACGTGGGCGGCAGGACCCAGGGACCAGCCAACTGTGGTCAGCTCTAGAAATACTGCAAATGCGATGTGGGGCTCAGGTTTTTATTTTTTCAACACTATGCGAACCAACCAAACTCCTGCCAATGGGCCAATTCTGGTTTAAAAGAAAAGAAAGGGAGTAATAGCCACAAAGCAGAGGGGTAGTAAAAGGTATCTTTCCAAGACTATGAATCTGTTGTATAGAAAGATCTTCTTAATATTCTCCCTGCCATGGGTAATGAATAATATAACTTCAGGTTGTTAGGAGAACAAAATAAGAAAATGTTTTGAAAGTTCGTGCACGATGGTAAGATGGTACTATTATTTTTATTATATCAGTTACCATAAGAATATAGAGTGAACCTTTTTAATACCGTCGAATATAAAAGAACTAGGAAATGTCTCTTAAAATGTGAAAAGAATATTTTCAGAACCAAGCTGTAGATAATGGGTTTTGTTTTCTTTTTGGTTTCAGGGATGGAAAAAAAACAAACCAAAGGGAACTTTGGTTTATTTTAAACTTTCAGAAGCTTAAAATAAGTTTGTGGATAATTCTTAGTACTGAATTTTATGAGTAAGAAAAAGGTATGGAAATTATCTACAAAAATTGGCCTCTGTCACTAAACTTTAAGTTCTTTTTTATATAGGTCTCTATTACTAGTTCACTACACAATATTTGGCATACAGCGTATAATCAATAAATATTTGTTGAATGACTGTGCATGTGTATGAGAGGGAGCACATCTGGCAATCTTTTTTAATCAAGAACATCTTATTTCTACTCGAGATTAGATCATGGGCTGGTCCAACCCAGACAGTTTTCTTAGGTATGGAATTCTATGAACCTTACTTTATTCATCAAAACAGCACATAAATATTACTTTGAAGTTAATAAATAATCAAGAGTCCCAGTACAAATGGTTTACTATTTTTTTAACATGCCCAGATGAATCATAGTTCAGTTATAAGTCAAAATGGTGACTGGCTTCTAAATAATGTAGCTGTGGTCTATTCTACTAATGAAACCACTGCTCAGACCATATCCTGAAGCACATTATTAAAATTTTAGCACAAATTTCAAAATTTCAAATAAAGTCTTTCCCAAAGAGGGCTTAGAGAAAAATTTAATATTAAATGAAATTACTTTGAATAGTTAGTAACAAAAACAAGACATGGATAAAACATAGTCCGTTTGGTTTCCCCCCCTGCCCCCCAAATTACTGGAAAGCTGATATTAAAATAAGACTAGATTTATTGTTTTTATCTCCAGATGGCAAAAGTACCATGAGATAATGAAAATTAAAAAAAGAATAATATTATAATCTAATGTGGATTTTGCTAATCAAAAAATTCAAAGCTGAAAGGGGCTTCCTATTCCAACATGCCCCCTCATGACAGAAAGTGTTCAGGGACAAGCTGGCTTCCCAACTGGCAGGTCCCTAAGCAATTTCTATATTAAAATAGTCAATGCCTGAGTATATATAATATCTTATCTTGACAACTGAATAAATAAAAGAAAATCAACCATGCTGTTTATGGTCATATTTGTCTCCTCCATAAGAATGCTCCTTCTACATCCATCCACAACTTTTTTTTAACTAAGATATTTATGGCCCTAGACAGACTGAGAAGACTATAAATGAAGGCAGGGTGAGAGAAGACACAGGATTTTTTCCCTGCCGTTTGGAGTATTACAGAATGTGTTGCCGTGGTTCCCGTCCCATGGGTTTGGGATCCTCACTTCCACATGTTGCCCCAGAGGATCACCCACAATCCAGAGGAAATTTTAAACTCTCCCACTTGATGCACTGTGTTCAGACATGCTATGAAGACTGACGTTCACAGTCTTTCTGTGCCTTTTACCTGGAACATGTCATTTCAGAAAGCATCTCTGCACTGAGGCTTCCAGGTTGCGTTATCAAGGCAGCTAGAAGGAAAGGTGGCTAAATCTCCAAATGGCTCTCCCTAACCCATAATATTTCACTAGAAACCAGAACAAATGAGAAGAATTCCACCTCTCCTAGGAATTATAAATATAAGAAGCAAGCTGTACTCGGTGTACATTCCTGTGGGAAACAAGTTTCTTCTTTGAATTCCGTAGTGGAAAACAATTTGAGATGCTCACAATGGAGATGTTTAATTGAGGGAGGGGGAAGGAAGATTAGAGAAGAGAAACTATTAAAAAAAGAGAATGCCATTTCAGGCTTTAAAATCTCTTTAAAAGTATCTAAACCCCTAATTCTTTTGCAAACTTTCCAGGGTCATTTTGAAATAATGAAGCTAAAGCAACAAGCCTAATGCCTGACATTAAGAAGATCTTTTAAAATTACTATAAGATGCACACGGTCAAATAATTTTAAAACTTGAGAATCTATACTATTAATTACTGAAGAGCTCTTCAAATATGGCATGTTTTCTCTTATTAATATACTTCAGTATTTACAACCTTTACTCTCAATAAAACATCATTTTGAATTCTGATCCCTCCTAAGTCAATTTACTATTTTTTTTCTTGGTAAAAGCAAAGAGCAACTAGTCACTATGTTGATTCAATAATCACTTACATCTTTCAAAAAACATATATAATATTTTCTGCTTTATCTATATTTACCCATGCAAGATAAAAAGTAAAGTTATATTTAAAAAAAATAAGAGCCACTTTTACTAAGAATCATATTTCCAAACCCTCCATCCTAAGAAGAAGAAATCAGATGTGTATCTAACAAGAAGGTAATTCAAGTACAGAAAGAAATAACAAGCCCACCAATATAAACCAGGTCACATCTAAATAATTTAGGGTGTTAAAAATTGAGTGAGACCCTGCTAAAATCATTTTTTTAAATGTATATGATTTTCTCTTTTTCTGATAACACTAAAAACTAGTATTTATTATTTATTATTGAGATATCTTTGGCATTTAACATTATATTAATTTTAGGTATATAACATAATGATTTGATATTTGAATACATTGCAAAGTGATCACCATAGAAAATCTAGTTAACATATATGATTCCTTAATAAAACAAAATTAGCATTCACTACCAGGAATCATCTCATCAATCATCAACCAAGAATTCAGAATAACTGGGCCCCCCAACCCCCCAAAAATATCCCTGATGGTATTATAAGATGTGAAAGATAAAAAGCACACTGTTACCCTTGTAGCCATGTCCATTCTACCACACAGTTTTCCTCCTTACACTTGATCGTGACCTCTCTTTCCTTAATTCAAGATCTCTTTTCCTTATGTGGACTTTGGAAATTCTGAGAGAGCTGAGTAATCAGATTTCCTTGAGCGCCAAACTGAAATACTCTCTTTTTCTCCAAATGGGAATTTCTCAGACTCTAATTTTTCTCTTTTTGAAATTTCACTTACTTTTGTTTTATCTGCCTGAGCACTTTCCAGGTTTTCTGTATTTCTCATAAACGCATTAATTTATCCATTCATCTAAAAATGATTCAAGTGCCTAATGCATGTCAGGCTGGGTATGCAATGGTAAATAAATTGAAAATGTTCTACTCACTGAAGAAATCTAGGTCCAGTAGAGGACCCCAAGGACATGAGTGCATTCTAAAATGCCCTGTAATTTAAAACTTATAAATTGCAATAGTGTCAGAAAAGATTCACTTATGTTTCCATGGCTAGTATCCTCATCCCCCAAAATGCATTCTCTCTTTAAGCCAGGAAGTTGAGCTACGTTTGAACTCTGCTTGGCATCAATCTGATGGCGTTCACATCTTAACCAAAGACCTCCCAAATTTCTTACAAAATTATACCGTTTATTTTTTCCCTCCAAATTGCTGTCTCATTCACTTAGGTAAACTGTGGTCTTTGTCTTCACACATCAATATGGAGTTTTCCAATGAAATTATACTGATACTATCTTAACATTCTGAACTCCCATGTTTTCAACCTTTGCCACTATCTCTTTTTATAGAACTACCTTATTCATTTTCAACTTTAATAGGAAATAAGCAATAAAAAATATGATCAGCCAAATTAAATACCACAGAAGCCATGAGATATGGCAATTTTTAAACAATAACACTAACTTCTAAATAAAGATGGCAAATTAAAAACACGACTCTGTACCCTCATGGAACTCATATTCTACTTAGATAGATAAGAAGCAAGATAAATAAGTAAAAGATACTTGTGTTAGATAGTGATAGTGATAAGTGCTAATAAACCAGGGAAGGAGGAGAGGAGATTTTATGTATATATATATATATATATATACATACATACAGGCGTGTGAGGGAGGTTGCAAGCACAATTTAAAAACTATGGCTAAGAGAAGCACTTCTAATGATATCTGAGGACAGAAGTCTCTCTGAGTAGAAAGAAAGATCCTGAAGGAAAAGCTTGTCTGGCATGTTGCGTAGCAGCAGGGAGGAAGGTATGACTGGAACATAAAGAATTGTACGGAGAGTGGTAAGAGTTGAGGACCGAAGCAAAGAGGGGTGGGGGGTACAGTGAGTCATTGTGGGTTACAAGGGGTATCAGTGGCTTAAGCTTGCCCTTAAAGGAAGGATGTAGTTAGATCACTAAAGGGAGCGGAAGGCAGTTCTGGTAGAGAGAACATCCTGAGACTTTGCTCATACTCACAGAACTACACAGCAAAGCGTGTTCAGGAAACGGCGTCTAGACAGGTGTGATGGAAGCAGAGCATTCGTGCGTGAGGGAAGAACAGGTACTTTGGGCTCAGACCACAGCAGAGCTCAAATTCAGTTGTTGGAATTTGGATGTTATCTTACTGACAGCAATGAGTCATGGGAGATTTTTGACCAGGTGATGGAGAATTTAGAGCAAACAGGGGTTGGCTTTTTTTCCGCAGAAGTGTTAGTAAGAGAAAAGTCAATAGGCAAAACAGAAAATGTTTGATATTGAAAATAAAAAGTTGATGCAGCTTTAGCAGACTGCTTCTGTGGAAAGTGATGAATACTGGGTGACTTGAGGAAAATAAGTGTAGCAACAGCTTTAATGTGTCAGCCAGAGTTGAATGGAACGAGTGCTTAGTGGCAGTGGAGATCGGCTAAAGTTGAAAAGCAGGAACTTACGATGATCCTGAGACTATGATCTATATCATTCAAACCAATTTTAGAACCTTTTTTTTTTTTAGGAGAAAACCAGTTTTAGGGCTGGGGTCACCGTTTTTGTTTTCCAGCTAGCAGGTATAAAATCTGGGTTAGGTTGTGTTTGTTAGAGTCAAAAGTTTAGAAAGCATCAGAGTTGACATTTGAGAGAAACTGGTGAGACTGGCTGCTTTTAACGCCAAGCTCAGTGTCAGGTGGCCTACGCCTGGGTTGGAATGATGATTCTACTTATTAACTGTGTGATATTAGATTTTTTTTTTCTCTTTGCCATGCAAAACAGTGTTATAGAAGGTAGTATCTACCTCTTAAGGTTGAATTATGGTTAAATGAGTTAATACGTGGAGAGTTTTAAAACAGTGCCAGGGCTTAAGCACTAAATAAGTTTTAGATATTCTCATTATAATTGTAATCGGTTCTATTTAACTATTTGTCATGTACTTCACGACACTGACAATTGACTATTAAAATTACTTATTTGTTTGAACTTACTGACCCAAATCAACTTATTTACATATAGATAGAGCCTACAAATTTAGTGATCATTTGTTTCAACACGGCTCAAAAGTGCTCTGGTCACCCATTACTGAATATATCAAGTGTGGCTTTGGGTTACATTATCCCATTTTAAGGTAGAAAGATATAGTGTCTTCAGAATTTAATGTTTTGTGTAAACAAAGTAGTTCACTTCAAGAAAACTATGAAAATACTAAGGCTTTAAAGTAAGACAGAGAAATATTACACTTCTTTATTCTCTAGATAAAGTAAGTTTGTTTTGGCCAATGTTTTGAAGAAGGTGGGTAGCCTCTAAGTTTACATAGTATGGTGTTTTTAATTTGCCATCTTTATTTAGAAGTTAGTGTTATTGTTTAAAAATTGCCATATCTCATGGCTTCTGTGGTATTTAATTTGGCTGATCATATTTTTTATTGCTTATTTCCTATTAAAGTTGAAAATGAATAAGGTAGTTCTATAAAAAGAGATAGTGGCAAAGGTTGAAAACATGGGAGTTCAGAATGTTAAGATAGTATCAGTATAATTTCATTGGAAAACTCCATATTGATGTGTGAAGACAAAGACCACAGTTTACCTAAGTGAATGAGACAGCAATTTACCTAAGTGAATGAGACTGTCTGCCACACAGTAGGTACTCAATAATTATTTGCGAGATGAGTGAATAAATGAATGAATTCTTTTTTATAACTCACTGTACATATTATATATACTTTTTATTTGAGATTTAAAATTAATATGTAAATATTAAACTCTAACAAATAGGCTAAAGTATTTAGAGGTGAAGCATATTGTCTGCAATTTGTTTTTCAGTGCATCCAAAAAGTCGATGGATGGATAGAGGAGACCTATGTGGCAAAGCAAATACAGTAAAACGTTAATTGTAGAAACTTAGGTAGTAGATATGTGGGTATTCAGTGTACAAATCTTTCAATGTATTACATGCCTGAAAATTTCTGTAATAAAATTTGGGAAAAACATAATGTTTTAGAAAGGTCTTCCCTGACTACATAAACTTTAGTTGCCCACCAACTGTTCTATATTGCATTTCTCTATTTTATTTTCTTCATAGTATTTATCACTAGCTGATGTTGTGTTGATTATCGTTTTACTTTCTGTTGCCTATTTACCTCCCCCATTAGAATGCAAGCTCCCTGGGAACCAGGAAATCATATATCAGGTCCCCTGCTGCTTGCCTATCACCTAGAATATCACATGGAAAATAAGTGTTTAATAATAGCTCTTAAGTAAATCAGTAAATAGATGCCTCATGATACTGCGTATTATATTAATTAGCCATTTACACATGAATGTCTACTTTCCAAAGCGATTATTAATTACTTAAAATTGAACTGTTTGTAGCCTTCTTAATATTTAGGAATGTTTTAGGTGCACAATAAAAGCTTAAATTCTCATAATAAAAAATAATCCATTGGCAGATATTTTAAAATTACATATAAAATTTTTTATTGTTGCATTATGATTATTTTGTTTCTATATCTGTAAAATGGGGGGAATTGAAAATTCTGGGGTGAAAATGGTCAAATGAAAAATAAGACAGTCTTCCCAGATCACAGAATTTTGTTATTAGAAAGGATCTTAGAAATAAGTTAACAGAAACCTTCATCGTAGAGATGAAGAAAATAGGACTCGGAAAAAATGACAACTCAGACATCCTAGAGGGATGTTGGTGACAGAGACAAAAGGAGAGTTGAGGTCTCCCCATTCCCAGTTCCTACCCCGAGAGGGCAGAGCAGGCCCTTTTGGAGTCTGGCATCTCCATCTTGAGGCTCCTGCTTTTTCCTCCAGCTGGCTCCTGGCCACAGAAATCTCTATGTTGACTCAGTATTAACTTTTGGATGACAAAATTTTGAAGGAATTTTTACTAATAATGTCTTGGCTTGCAGCAAGTGTACTCCCTTTGCCATATCCAAGTGATTTTTACTAGACCCGATTGCTGTAACCATCAAGAATTGCTTAAAAATCTCTTCTCTCACAACCTCTGTGAACATTGTAGAAAGAAGACTGTCCTCTTCTGAAAGAGGGATTCAGAGATGAGGAGAGGCTGGGCGGCTTGCAGAGGGCACAGCACATGACCCAGGGAAGGGGAAGGGCAAGGAGCTGCCCAATCAGCCGTCACTCATTCACCTTTCTCCCCACTCCCATCACAAGTCCCTGACTCAAAGAATTGACATTCGGATGAAAACTGCAAAGGGCTGTTAAGAATGGAATAATGAAAAACAGCTGGCCAACGGTTTTCTCAGGCACAGTAAGGAAAATAATTACGTCAACTACTTTAAATTCAGGAATGTAGAAAGCCTGGGGGTTACACACCTAACCATAGGAAATGACAGGAGAAGAGGAAATGCATGTCTTCCTACAGCATCTTCTCTTATATTCAGCCTTTGTATCACAGACCGAAGGGCAGGGGAAAAAAATTCTTCTTTGGAAAGGCCAATCTATGTTTACAAAGCTGTCAACAAATGTTTATTGAGAACTGACCCCAGCAACATGCCACAGGGTAAGGTCTGTAAATGCCAGCCTTTGACCACTTCTAAACTTGACCCCACTGCTCACCAACATGTACCTGCCAAGCCCTGTAACTCGCCATGCCCCAACTTGCTTTCTTCTTTCAAGACTCCATGCTTTCGTAGTTTCCTCTGCCTCGAATGCTCACAACTGCTTCTCTGCCTGCTGAAATTCTACTCTTTTCTCAAAAACAAAAACATATATATAGTGCTTCATATCTACCAGGCAATGTTGTAAGCACTATATATATGTACGCATACATTTATATGTATACAGTATTCATATATATATATTTCTATAATCAATTATGTATTTAATATTAAATAAATTGTATATTTAGTAAATATTTGGCTAAGTAATATGTAACCCTCATTTTATATAATAAATTTTATGAAATTACAATTAAATATGTAATTATATTTAATATATGTATATGCAATAGACACTATTTTATACATACATTATATATGTAAATCATAATGACTCTCCAATGAAATATCATCTCCATTTTAAAGATGAGTAAATTGAGGCACAGAGGAACTGTGATTTCCCCAGGATGAAGCAGACCTGGACTTTAAATACCAAAGTGCTTTGCTTCAAATGCCAAAGTATTAATCATTGTGTTCACTGTTTAACCTGTTCAAAACCAGCTACTGAAACAGGGCCACCCCCGCCTCCTTTTACAACGCAATCTGTCTTTATTCTGATTCTGTCTTCCCACTGCACTCTGCACATACCTCATTGATATTTACTTCCCTGTGTGGTGGTTTCTTTTCATCACATGTATCTACCTACATCTACTTCTCATTAAGCAGTTTAAATAATTCAGTCCCAATTAATACCACAGATGGGTTAAAAGGAAGAAGAGGTCATTTAGTATGATAATGGTCAGGAAGGAGGTGAGGGTTAAGAAATTGGTAGGTTTGGGTGAGCGGAGGGATTTAAAAACTCATTCAAAGGATGAACAAAATACAAGGTTCCTCTGAACAAGAAGAAATGAAGACATTTAAGCCTTGATACCTCCTGGCCCTCAAGCTGTTTATGTTTCTCACTATAAACTACTAACTTAGTTTCATATAAAAAAATTCAAAATCCAAAGAGTTGGGTCTGTATAAATAATTTTCCTAGGGTTTTATTATTCCTGGATAAATTACTGAAATTTCAGAAATGCAGCAAACCTAGAAATATGAAGTTAACAATAACCTCAAGACCATTCCTACTGCATTTTTACTGCTTCGGCCCTAACTATTTGAGGATCACTTAAGACAGAAATACTCCTCTACACAGGCTTAATTTATTACTGAACATGAAATTGTAGAATAGCTTCCTCATTCCAACAATTTTCTTTGAGTTCATCCACTCCTTCTCTCTCTCTGTACCATTCTTCTCAAATTTTATATCTTCCTTCATCCTCCCAAATGTTTTGTGTTCAAAGTGCTGATGAGGTCCAAAGCCATTGCTTAATCTTAATGTTATCATTTGAAGCAACAAAAGAGATTAATGCCTCAGTAGTATTTGGTGTAATACCTCAACCAAAGTTTATAGATATCAGAATAATAAAAGATTAGGACAAGAAGTAAAAGGGAAAAAATTTTTTCTTTAAGAAACAAAACATTCTTGTAAATACATGCATAAATATAAATATAAGTAAACAAAATTTCCAAGTGTCAAACCCAACTTTCTGGAATAAAAAATAGATTTTATCTGATATAAAGTTGAAAATTAATTCTGTTGTGTTACATACTTGGTTGAAAATAAAAGGAACCTCTTTCTTCTCTCCCACTTTCATAAAAGATATGGGAAATGTTGCTGTCCCCAGAGTTTCATCCATGACATAATTGGCATCCATTAACGTGATCTATAGAGAATAAAAGACAGATCATGAGTATCAAATTTCCCGTGGTTTTGGAAATAATATCTAAAGTCTCCACCACATGTAAAAAATGAAATTTCTCAGATGATAGATAACAGTCATTTGAGAGTCTCAATATTCAATCAATAACAATACTTTGTTTTTATCTTTCTAAATACTATATTTTCAACTAAAATAATAATTAATTTTTCACTTTCCCAATTAACCTACTCATTATCATGTGTTCAAAAATGAAAATTATCCCCTCTCAAGGGAAATGTTATTTTGGAATATGAGAAAGAAATTAATGTCAAAAAATCCCCATGCAACTATTTTGACAAAGATTTATTTTAACGTATTTTAAAGGCAATTGAAAATATTTTTATTTTATTATACTTGGATCTTCCTCTTTATAACAGAAAATATGTTCTCTCCAAAGCACACGGAGAATATAAAAGAGTCTTCCTAGCTCTGCCTAACTCCTGCATTGACCACCCACATAACGTGATGTGCACCATCTAGAAGCTGGTCTACTACGCTGCGCAGCTGGACTCCATGACTGAGAGGGGGAAAAAGGCAGTAAAGGGATGAACTCAAGCACTGGCCTCAAATGAATGATGACCATCTAACAGTCCGCAAAGTCTTCACTTACCTCCAAAACATTTTCCTGATTTGGGTCCAAAATAAATTCAAAGGTCTCATTCCACACGGGGTTTATGTCATTATTAAAGTGTCTTGTTCTCTTCCTGCTGTCAGGAGTTGAGGAGATGAAAAGTTCCACGTAGGGGTCTGGAGTGTCAACTATAGACATTAAACACAGATGGGAAGGAGGCAAATGTGACTCACAGTTTCTAATTTGTTTTTATTAATATGTGTTGCAGTAACATATTCAAAATATCTGAGACATGATATATATAATAGAAGAACATCATAGGTTATATACTTTTTATATATTATATCTCTGATCTTCGTAATGGTCCTACGAGAATCATTTATTAGGTGATTTATTTAGAATTCCTCTGTCCTCCTCAGGGGCATGTTCACCGAAGTCAACATCTCAGTCCAACTACTAGACAATGATTGTAAACTCTCACCCAGCTAATTACAGCATAACTGTCACCCAGGACTATGATAGCGACAAGATCATGGGTTCGGGATCATGATACTTGTCTACATTAGAAAAAAATCCCAATTACTTTATTTGTCAAACAAAATAATGAGAGTCAGTGTGAGATAAATATAAATGTACCACCTAGTATGGTGGTACAGGCTGTGCACTGAACAGCTCTTAGAGGTGGGATTTATATTAGTAATCAACATATATTTCTGCATTTATTATGGCAGTATTCAATGAAATGGAATAAGGTGTCTCAAAGAAGTGACAGCTTTTTCTATTGAAATAAAGGTCCTTTTGAATCGGGGCATGATATGCGTGCCATTTTAAATAGAAAGAAACAACTGCAAATAAAAGAACTACTTAAAATTTCTCCCTCTAAACATATACTTAACAAGGCAACTGACCCTGAGCAGTGAAAATATTGATCACTCCCTTGTTAGTGGTTCTACTGAATCCTTCATCATCATATAGCATTGGGCATACTATATATTATGGATGAAATTTTAATCTGTCTTTTTCTACAAGACTGTCAACACTTGAAGGCAGAGACCAAGTCTTGCTCATCTTTATATCTTCAGAACCTAGCAACTATCACAATATTTAAGGTCTCCCAACGTAAGGACTCAACTTTTCTCTTTAACATACCCTTTCCCATTGGCCATTATAATTCATAACCACAAAAACCAATAATTGAATAATGATGAGGAGGATCTCTGTTAAGCATTTTACACACCTTGATCTCATTCAGATCTCACAAGTTATTTGTTTTAGTGAGGCAACAGGAACTGAGAGATGTTAAGCAATCTGTCCAATGTTGCACAGCTACTAAGTATCAGAGCAAGACCTGACTGCAACAAATTGCTTTCCCAGGCTTGATCTTCATTTGAATCTTTGAAGAAGTAGAGGGAGAAGTTTGCTTGGGCCAAACAAAAAAGAGAAAGCAGAAAATAAAGTTCCCTTCTGGCTTTCAAAATTTTGGTTGAGAAATAGCTGACAGTCTTATAGGAGCTCCCTTGTAGGTAACTAACTGCCTTTTTTCTGCTTTTAAGTTTCTCTTCTTGTATTTAACCTTTGGCATCTTAATTATGATGTGTCTTGGTGTAGGCCAATTTGGGTTCATCTTGTTTGGCACTCCCTGAACTTCCTGGATTTGTATGTCTATTTCGTTCTCCAGGTTAGGAAAGTTTCAGTCATCATTTCTTCAAATAGGTTCTCAGTCCCTGGCTCTCTCTTTCCTCTTTCTGGTACCCTTAAGATGTGAATGTTGTTAGGCTTGACATTGTCCCAGAGGTCCCTTAAGCTATACTAATTTTTTTAAACTCTTTTTTCTTTTTGCTGTTCAGACTGCGTGTTTTCTGCTATTTTGTCTTCCAAATTGCTGATTTGATCTGTTTTATCTAATCTGCTGTTGATTACCTCTAATGTATTCTTCATTTCAATTATTGTATTCTTCATTTCTGACTGGTTCTTTTTTATAGTTTCTATGTGTCTTTTTTTTATGTGTATTACCTCTTTGCTGAAGTTCTCACTAAGTTCCCTGAGTATCCTTTTAATCAGTGTTTCGAACTGAGAGGGTTGGGAAGCTGGGTGAAAATGGTAAAGGAATTAAGAAGTACAAATTGGTAGTTACAAAATAGTCATGGGGATGTTAAAGTACAGCATAAGGAATATAGTCAATAATATTTTAATAATGATGTCTGATGCCAGGTGAGTACTAGACTTATCAGGGGATCATTTTGTAAATTATATAAATGTAAAACCACTATGCTGTACACCTAAAACTAATATAAAATCATATTGAATGTCAACTGTAATCAACAAACAAACAAACAAAATAAATAAAGAAGTCTTTGGCAGAAAAGAAAAGTGAAGTTCCTTGGGAGGAACCAGAAAGGAAAAGAATGCACAAACTAAAGTGGCATATGTCAATCAGTGATATAACCATCTTCTCAGCCAACTGAGACTCTCATTAGGTCATATGCTTTAACAAATTATCACTCGAACAAAATGATTAAGACAACACCATATAACAAGAGGCCAACACTACATTTATATCTCAAAACATCAACAGACCTTTTTCAAAAAAATTGAAATCCAGTTCAAAGCTGTCATTTTGGATTCTTATTATAATTTTTACTTTTAAATAATGTCAATATGCTAAAATTTTTGTTGAGTGATAGTTTTTCTAGTTTCTCCTTTTCATTAGCAAGAGACTTCAAAGTCAAGATGTCAAAGGATGCTGGGCAGTGGAAAACCACTGACAGCTCTAAACTTTGATATTGCAATCTACATCATTGCTAATCTTTGCACTCTAAGAAACATCTGTAGCAGTGACAGACACTGCAGGACAAAAGAAGTTTTAGGAAGCTAGTTTAAAATTGGATTATGATAATCACATATCTCAGCTCACTTTCTTTACACAATCTATGATCTTCATTGGCACGGTAACACATGATAGTTCTGAAAAGAGAAAGCAGTCCATTTTTTTAAATTAAGTTTATTGGGGTAACGGTTAATACAATCATATAATTTTCAGGTGTATATTATCATTTGACATCTGTATATTCCATTGTATGTTCACCACCCAAAGTCCAGTTTCCTTCAGCTACCATATATTTGATCTCTTTTACCCACTTCACCCTCCCCCTACCCCCTATATTTGACCTCGTTTATCCTGTCTACCTTCCCTTACCTCTCCCACCCCACTAGTAACCATTACTCTATAGTCCTCTGGTAACTACTAGTCTATAGTCCACGTCCATGAGTCTCTGTTTGTTTGTCCTGCTCATTTGTTGCTTTTAGGTTTATATCCCACGTATAAGTGATATCATGGGATTTTCAACTTTTTCTGTCTGGCTTATTTCGCTTAGCATGATTATCTC